AAAGGAACTTTGCTGTTTATAAAACTGTTGAAGAAATAGGAAAACTTAAAATTCAAAGCAGAGGCGTTCAAGATATTTGCAATTCAGATGAAAGAAAACAATCAGTACACCATTAAAATGAGAAAAATTAAGAAAGAGAAATCAATACTTTAGGCTTATTAAAAAGGCAGAATACTTGTACCTCGTCTTTATAGCTAAATATCTATTAATATAAAAATACTGGGGCAATAAATTTTTTCTGTTTTTAATTAATGTTCTGCAGTTTTTCTGTGTATTGTAATATCAGTTCTCATAGACTGTCCTTGACTCAGAGCTCACATTGCTTCATAACAATACGGAGCTCTGCACATTCATGATTTAACAATGTCAATTACAATTTTATTTCTTAAAATTTATTATATTAGCTTTCTGGATAAAACCTGAAAACCTTGTAAATGCTGTAAGAGGTTTGTTCCCATCCAAGTGATATCTTGAGGAGCATTTGGAGCAGTTGCAAGTCAAAGCTCTGCATCCCATCATATTTTGGAGGCTTTGGCATTGGAATCCACGCTGACACCAAGACTGCAAATCCCAGTTTGTGATACACTTCAAAAGATCGTTTTCTGACCGAAAACTTGGTGGGGAAGCAATTACTTTTTTGGTTGTTTTCCACTCTTCTCTTTATAAAGTATAAACAAGGCAAAAGGGGTGAAGAAAGAGCTGTGAGACAGTGAAAGCACAGGAGCTGTGAAGTGCTGCTGGTTTAAGAAATCCTTATACCACTTGTATGTGGGACTGGAAGGCTGCAAGGGAAGTATTGTTATATCCCACCTATCTTTTTATTTTGTGGTCGTTCTCTATCAGCCATTGCCAGAACTAGAATATGATGAGATGAATCTCTGATCAGACAAGGTATTGCCCTTTTTATTCAGTGGCATTGTGCAGACATGTGGTGGGTATTGTTCTAATACCAGTGAACACAGAAGCATCTGTGTAGATTTTGGTCCAGTAACCTTGTTTTGTCATTCCCTATAATGTCATAAACTTTTATGTGTTGCTTGAGTATGTAGTTGAGCTCATCATATCACTGGGTGTATATTTTTCTTCTCTATAGGCTGTGACAGTTCCAGGCAAGAATAGTATTTTTAGTGTATGCTTTCTTTTAACCTGTATTGTAATGTACCAAGGTCATCTTTATTACAAACACCACATAATGTTCCTACGAGAGTCTGTGTACATTTGTGGGCTCACCTAGATTTATTTATTTATTTACTTTGTAGAAAGATTGCTTTATATAAGTCTGCAAAGCATCAGCAAGCAACAATTTTTTACTAGAGAAATTGCCTTTCCCTTTGCTACTCATTCTTTTGACACATAAATGATCATGTTAGATTTTTTAATAATTGTGCTGCACCATTTACTTCAGCTCAAACTATTTCACCAAATAACAGTCAAGTTTTACCAGTCTTCAAAAAGAATTTATGAAATAGCAGTTTGAACAGTCTTTGCATTTTACAATTTACCCTTTAATTCAGAGTACTTTTTCATTTGTCACATTTTTATTTTATTTAGTTTTGATGCTTTAATCCACCCTTCTTCCATCTTAGTACACAACAAGCACTTGTTCTTTGTCAAGAAAGTCACTATGAGCTCCAGACTTTCTAAATGAGTATCAGGTCCTAGAAACACACGTGTGGGCATCGCTTACTGCTAGGGTCATGTGCTTGGGAGAGCTGCCTCAGCATCACATTCACAGAGCAGAAGATCCTGCAACTTTGCAAGGGAGTAACAAAGACGTCTGGGGTTAGCAAATGCCAAAAAGACAGAATATGAATTTACTCACACTTGGAAAGCTGTGGTCCAAATTCTGGCCTCACATTGTCCTAAGTTACATTATAAACTATAAAACAATCACCTTTCTTTTAGCTGTTAATGTTTTCAAATTCAAACTTCCACGATGGAAGTGAACACCATGGCTAGGCTCACAGCTCGGGTTCTGAGTAAAATGAACATCTATCTTACCTAGTAGTTCAGAATGAACAAACAGACAAAAAATATCTAAACAACCCCTTGTTTTTGAAAAATAGTGGGTAGAATTGTGTTAATCAGTGTTTCACTGAAATTTCACTCAGAGGGTGGTGATGCATTGGAACTGGCTGCCCGGAGAAGCTGTGAATGTCCCATCCCTGGAAGCATTCAAGGCCAGGCTGGATGTGGCTCTGGGCAGCCTAGTCTAGTGGTTGGCAACTTCGCCCATGCAGAGGGGTTGAAACTAGATGATGTTTGAGGGCCTTTTCAACCCAGGCCATTCTATGATTCTGTGATTCACTGAAAGCCTGAATGTTCTCATGGGTGAGAAGGCAGTCCTCAGACCTCCTCTTGTCTTTGAATTTCTTTGCATAGTTTTCTCTGTGATGACACAACCTGCTTTGAGACGGAAGGGGAATACATGACAGGAGCATACAGCTTGCTTCTCACTGCTGAGTTACAGTGCTGTATTGCCTTTGAGACTTTCATTGCTTTTATTTTTTTTTTTTCATCTGTAGCAGTTTTCATTAATAAATTACTTATTAAAAAAAAAAAGTGAATTTGTGGAAAGGTCTTTTTGTGCCCTGTAATTATCTCAGAATTTGATCTGAGAAGCTGCTGACTAAAATGCTTAATGCAATGGAGTAGAAAATATTTAACTTCTACTCATTTTTAAAACAATCTGTTTTCTGATACGATAATGATGAGGGGAAGTTTTAATATATCAAACTTGAATATCCTTTCTCTGACAAGACCATTATTCTAGCCCGAATCAGCAGAACGTGTTTTTTTTCACTTGGGGAAAAACAACAACAACAACAACAACAACAAAACAATGAAGAAATAAAACAGTTGTTACTTCTAGCTCCTATACCAAAGAAAAATGTCTGAGAATTTATCATTTTCATTTTCAAGCAGTAGACTTCTGTCTGAATTGAAATTAAAAATAAACAAACACCTATGTGAATGTCTGTCAGCATTTGAAAAAGCTGGCTACATAACTTCTATACTATGAAAATTGCCTAATTAAAATATGTCTACTTGTACTATAATTAAACTGTAACAAAGTATTTTCAGTCAGTTTTAAAATGGTTTCTGTATCTTTGAGTTTCTGTATGCAAACTGTAATACTCATAATTAATGTATTTTAAAAACTCATATCTTTTCCTCCCTTCCTCCTTTCCTCCTTTCCTCCTTTCCTTCCTTCTCAAGAATAATCACTGAAATGTTCTTCAAATGCTATTATATCGTACCTTCATACTGAATTTTGCCATAATTCTGGAATGTGACATCATCCATCAACATTTTTGTTGATAAATTCTTTATTTTTTTTATCTTTTATCTTTTGTTGATAAATTCTTTATTTGTTGTTGTGGTGATGGTTGATTTCTTATTCCCTCCAGACAAAAATGATTACAACTACTTTCTCTAAGCTCCTTCATTCCAGGAAGGCTTTTGCATTGAGCAAGAATCCATAGAAAGTTGTAATTAATTACTGCTCTGTAATCACATGATTACATGCTGTTTCATGTAATATTTAACTGGCAGTATCAGAAGGCAGTCCAACTTAGAGTTGGGCTCACTTGGGATTTAGTCCACCCAATCTACATATTTTTTTTTTCACAGCACTCTAATTCTGAAGATTGAAAGCTGAAAGCAGGATAAGACAAACAGGAAAAAATTTCCTATCATATAGATGCCACTTGTGTGACCTGAAGATGAAAAGTGAGAATTGTTCAACATTGTCAAAGTTTGATTACATAAGAAGGTATTTCACCGTCTCATTCACTTTCTTGATGACCGATTCACTGACTACCTTGAAAGAGGACATTGGACATTGATATCCAAAAAGCATGAAATAAGAAAGCTTTATGAGATCAGTGGTAGAACTTCACTCGCATATGCACAGTTCTGTCCATTAAATCACCACTGTGCAGTTGCTATCTGTAGTCTGTTTTTATGCGAGCAGTGCAAAACTGTGTACAAAGCTTGTGTGCACCAGTAACTCCATCAGCCAGAGACTGAGTGTTAAAGCTGTGGAAATCAAAGGCATGAAATAACTGCTTCAACCTCATTTTAAGTGATAACTACACAAACATTGGGTTAGTGTTGTCACCAAATATTAGCAATTATATTTGAACTTTAATAAAGCTACAATACAGTTCACAGAATACTTGCACTTTTTTTTTTTTTTTTTTTTTTTGTAGTTAAGTGTAACGTACAATGATTAAATATCAGCTGTCAGACTTGTTATAGTTGATTATTCAATTACTGCCTAGTCCAAAGCGTGTCTACAAGGTGAGGTGATGTGATGGTACAGAATAAATACAACTTCCATTCATGTATCCCTGTATAACAGCCAGAGAAAGTGCAAGGGAACAAGGCCATGATCTAGGCACGCAAGCACTCCAATCTAAATGAATTATTTTCCTATGCATTGTGACTGGTTTTAGACAAAAGACTGAGACATACTCAGCTGAAGATCTCCATAAATTTATAGGCGTTGCTCAGAACCAAGAAATTTAAGTAGGCATAGTTTTGACTCCGATAACATCGAAAGAAAAACTCCTGTTGACCTCAGCTGAAGCAGGTTCAGGATATACCTATATTAAATACATGTACTAGAAAAGCTATTTTTCCAATATGTGTATGTCATAGTTTTCTACTTCTATTCTACCTTATAATGTTGTACAATTGTAGATGTGGCAAATTCCATCTAGAAAGTCTTCAACTTAGTTGTAAGATAAATAAAAGCACAAATGTCTTTTTTGGAAATGCAGGTCAACACAGTGATTTTTCTTTGGATGCTGTATGGGAACTGCTGAGTCACGGCCTGAACCTCTGATTGATCACCTGAGGTGAGCCATGAGTCAGCCAGAGGAGCACAGGTGAAGGCAATTCACCTGTGCTGCCGGAAGGGGTGGAGCCAGGCTGCACCCCTCCTGGACCTATTTAAGAGCTGGCTACCAGAGGGGAAGGATCTCTTCTGGAGATTGCCTCTATTGGAGTCTTCTGGTGAGCTCAGCTGAAGGGTAAGCTCTTCCACTTATTCTCTTTTGTGATCATTGTCTACTTTGCCTAATTCTCTTGATTATATTGTGATTATAACATCTTGATATCTGTTGATTATACAATTATATTGTGATTATAACATCTTGATTGTACAGATGCAAAGTTTATTGATTTTAAAAAGATAAGGCTTCATTATATATTAAGCACAGAAAGGAGAAAGAGATTAAAGGTTAGATTCCAATACACAATCTTTCTTCTATTCACATTATAGGTAAATACTCGAGGAGTCATTCCTTTTATTTTATTTTTTTTCCTCCTCTGTCTAAAAGAGCATTTAATTCTTCCACCAAAATTCAACTGAGGAATTGGAAGGCCTCATGCTCTGAATATTGCATACACTAATAATAGTAAAGTCATGTTTCAGCACTATATTATGGGAAGATGAAAATTATTTCTGTGTGTGGTGGTATAGCAAAAATGCTAAGTCACAGCTTGAACCAGTGACTGAGCACCTGGGAGGAAGGCAGGGCCAGCCCAGGGAGCTCAGGTGTATGCAATGCAGCTAAATGATCACAAGGGGTGCAGCCAGGATCCACCTCTTCCCAGACTTCATTTAAGGGTTGGCAGTGGAGGTAAGGCTGCCTTGTTTGAGATTCCTGTGTATTTGAAGCATTCTGAAGGTATTTTCTTTCCTTTGTGTTTAAGGTTGTTGGATTTGAGTAAATTCTCACTTGCTGCAGCTTAGAATCTTGCTGCTCTGCTGTCATTGTTGTACTTTCTATTGTGTTACGTATGGATTCTTGTATGATGGTGAAAACTCATAAGCATGGATGTGCAGGGCCTGCTTTCACTCTAAACACTGCTTAAATTGGCTTGTCAGCTTAGTCTTTTGCTTTATTAAAAGGCTTAGATGAGCATGTTTTCTTTGATTCAAAATTATTTCCCTCAACTTAAAAATGTGGGTTTTATTTCATCTGCTTTATGTCAACCTTAAACTGAAACTAGTAGAGTTCTTGTTTCTCTCCATGAACAGAACAACCAGTTCTTTTTAGAAGTCAGCAACTGTATGGACTTCTCAAGTTTCTCAATTGCATGAGAGATGAGGTAGTGACAACTTGAATGCATTCAAAAAAAAAAAAAAAAGATTTAACCTGCATTTGTATGAGCAAGGAGGGGGAGCAGTGGAGAGAAACCAAAAGCTAGAGCTTAGTAAGAGAAGTGGCCTTAGTACAAGTATCCTCTGAGGACATGAGTAAGGCAAATGAAAAGCCAGAGGAAAGCAGTAGTGGAAACATGTGAGACATGAGCTTTATGGGTGAATAAGAAAGGTTGAGTTTAGTGATTATAGCTTTCCCTTTTTCCATGTTTGTAGGCTGCCCTTGCATGTTCCATGGTTCAACTGTACAGAAAAGTATCAATGAGTGGGGATTTACAGAAGCTGCTCTGACAGTTTCTGGCCCCAGTTACTCTTTTTCTGTGAGGTTGTGACTGGTTTTTGTTAAGAGTCATGAGAGATGCTTAAATGTTCAAAGCTCTGCAAAGTAAACATATATAGCTGGTAGCAGCATTTGTAAATTAAAGATTACTCTAATCTTCAGTGACAGATTTATAAAATACTGCTTTAAATTCTGCTTCATGCTGTCAAGTCAACTGAGTTTATTTTGGAGACAAAAGCAATTTAAGAAAACTCATAGATTGCTTCGGCCACCAAAGGGTATAAATTATCCCTAACTAATTTCTGTCAGTAGAGTATGTTGAGCTGTTTAGATAAAGCATGCTTTTTGACATTTATCACAGAATGATACTTTCTTACAGACTGTTAGTCACAGAAGGGGGACATAGGATGAATCACTGAGGGGCTGGTAATCTTTTTGCTGACATAAATGATATTGGTTATGGATGAAGAAATTAGCACACTTTTCCTCTAGAATGGTACAGTAGTATGCAATCAAACAGAAATGCATTCAAATTCTAATGGTAAAAATACTGTAAACACATAAAAATGTATCTGGATGTGGCAGATGCTGTTACTAAATATATATTTACTAGGATACAGAAAAAATCCTTCTGAGGTAGAAGCAAGAAATCTGTTGCTTAAGTTAAATGCTTAGCAATGCATCTCGCCCCAAATTCTTTACAAGTCAACAGTTTTTGAACCCACATTCTCAGCATAATGATTTGATACATTTTTGGGGGGGTAAAATTGCAATTTACACAATTACATCTGTCTTTCTCATACAGATACCATTATCCTAAAGTCTAACTGCATGAACACAGGGAATGAAGTATATATACTACCAAGTAATATAGTACTGATACCTGCCAGAGCTGTATATAGTGCTGTGCATATGCCAAGAAATCTGTGAGTGAACCCATTCTGGAGACGTGCACTGTGGGCTTTCCATGAAACTTCACATTTCACACCTCACTACTGGGACTGCCTGCCAGGAACATGCCCCTTGCCCTTGCTGCGGGAGAGAATCTGCTTGCAGATTCATTCTTCTCACCCCAGATCATCTGGAACAGCTTTCTGGAACAGGTGCATGCCATCAGCATCCTATAGGGCCCATCTGTATCTGTCCAAATGTTCTGGATGAAGACAATAGCCAATTGATTTGCTGCTGTTTGGGCTGAGGAAAGAAAACTGATGTGGTTAGCAAATTGTTAACAAGCTGTTAGCAAACTGATCTTTTTTTCTTTATTAAATGTAATCATACACCATATTCTTTCTTTTAAACTGCATTCTTTTAGGTTTGAAATGGAAAAGGGGAAAAAAGTAAAAACTCATTAAAAATTATATGTTCCCTTGAGATCGCTCTCTACAGACGTCTGTGCAAATTGCCAGACGTGAGCAAGTAGGTGCTGTTTATGAGCTTTACCTTACATTTTTAATGGAAATGAATAGGTAAATAAAGATGAGAAAGGAGAACAGTCAGACTTCCAGAGCCCATCTCTAAGATTAGTTCTCTAAGATAAATCTGATCTATATCTTCTCTTACAGTGAGAACTGAACTGTTCAGCCCACTCAGTTGTAATTTTCAGTTTTCCTATTTTGAAAGCACAGATTGGGTACCTTTCTTCTTCTCCAGTTAGAAGAACATTTCCATAGTTTCATTCAAGGGTGCCCTCTTGCTTTCTAATTCAACTGCTTTCTTTATTCTTACCATGAGTTTCTGAGAACTGCTGTTTTCTTTGGTTGCTGTCATAGAGCTTTCTTGATTGGAAGGCCTCTGTTCTTCATAATGATGAGTATGTACTCCTCTGTCTCTGTACCTGCCATTTCATATCCACTACCTGAAGTAAATATAGCCTAGGGTGCTGGTAATGCCTGTGTGTATGGGGGGATGAGGGTGCTAGTATCTTGGACACTAGTGTTGGACATCAAATTACTTTGTGTTCCACTATGTTGCTATAATTCTCTTTTTTGCTTTGTCACTGGGACAGATGCTTTCTGCCTGGAGTTAAACAGGGTATAGGTAACAGATACATCAGAATTTGTACCTCTAGGATGCCCTCCAAACCCTTTATCTAAGTCCTAGCAGGATTTGTATGAGAAGCTGCAGTATAAGTGGAAAGTTATAACTGACCGCACTTACTATAGAGTGCTATCCAGTAATCTTCATATTACTAATAATAAATACCACAATTACCTAATGCAGTGCTTCAGGACAATCCATGTGGGAGCTGATCTGGGTAATTCTAATGCAGTGTTCACTGGGAATTTCAGTCCATTCCTATTGCAGACTATTCTGCTAAATTTATTTCTTCATTCTGTGACTTCTATCTTTAATGTTACTCTTTGCCCTTGATTTTTCCAGTTTTGTATACTGCATACAAAAGCCATATTAATTCCATTAATATTCATGTTTGTATTTTATACCTGACAGAATTGCTCCTGCATACTGTGAAAACCACTGAATTTTAGAAGCTCATTATAAAGTGTAAATAAATCCATATCATTGCATAATGATACTTTATTATCAATTTAAGCAAAGTGTAAATCTAATCTTAACAATCAAACAGTTGTTGGGCTTCCTATCACAATGGCATCCAGTTCTTGGCAAGGGATTTGGTCATCATGGTAGTTCAAAGTTAAATCAAACCATTTCATTTTGACCATTTCCAAACTAAATGGCTTGCTTTTTTCTTTGAACAAAGCTTAGTTAAAAAGATAATGTCCTCAAAAAAATATAGGATTCAGTTCACAATTAATTCTTCAGTATCACATCAAAAATCACTTTATATGTAGGTTGCTGCTGTAATTTGCTACCATCGCGTGCATTACTGAAAGTGGGCCATATTTACTTCCTGTGCCTCGCTCTTCCTCAGGCCCTTTTAGGATAAAACTTTTGAGAACTGCATAAAAATGAGAAAGAGTGTTAGGACTGATCTTACTTTTCAATTGTCAAAAGTAGTGTTGTGTAACTTTTGCTGTTTGATGCTCACTTGTGGTTGCCAGGAGGTGTGGGTTTTCTTGGTAGTAGAGGGGAAGCTGGGTATTGTTTTTCAGAGATGATCAACCTGTGTAACTCACTGTCATGAGAAACTGCTGATGCACAGCTTAGCAAGTTTCAAGAAAGTAATTGCATATTTATGTGGCATAGAAGAACATTCACATTTGCATTAGGTAGGATATAAATAAACCTGTAAGGCTCATCTTCTTCTAATTGTATGGCATTTTAACTTTATCAGTAAAAGTTAAGTAATATAATCCTCACTTTAAAAAGCATGAAATTCTTAATGTAAGAAATAGTGTTTATGGATGAGATTATTCCATGTAATAGTATTCTTCTCAGCTATATAACTTTGTCCAGGCATATGTTTATATAACTTATAATTCCCATGTGACTGTGACTTAAAAAGGTACTTGCCATCACTATAACTAATTACAAGTATTGTCCTTGAGCTCTCAATTGCAGACACAATTATTATATTACTTCAGGTAACAAAACTGAGTTTCACATGAGAACAAGATTGGACTCCAAATCACCAGAATCTTTTCTAAGAATCTAATATTAGTAGAAGAAGCTGTTACTTCTCTCCAGGAGGAATGAAGCTGCTCAGAGCTGGGTTTCTGGGCCTGCCCAGCAGCTCAGTGATGAGGAGCAGCTGTATAAAACAAGAAGAGTTTTGTGGAAGCACAGAGAACAATTGTACTTATCATCTGGATGACTTGCATCCTTGTCTTTGCCACAGGTTTCCTCTGGCACAAACATGTCCCACATCACCAATATTAATTCAGTTCCTTTGTCATCAGTTTCAGGTGAGCAATCATCACAAGCATCTGTACATCAAACATCAGTTTTGTGTTGTGCTTTTTTCTAAGCAACGTAAAAAATGTTTTACCAGTTATCTTCTGAAATACAAGCATCACATTGAAAATGTGTGAAGTGAAAGTGTGTAAAAACCATTCATGATGAACGATGGTCTGTTCTTAATTAGACAATTTTATAGCCTTCAATGTTCATCTATTTTTAGTATATATCATCCTTTCTCTAATTGTGCCTTGTAACTTTAAAGAGATTAAAAGCAGTTGGATGTAAACTTTTCTGACTTAATTGTAGTTGGTTATTATTTGGAACTATTTTAAAAATCAGTAAATGCAGATTAGCCTCACTAAATTATTTCTAGATTGTAAACCTAATCAACTAAATATTAGTGATAAGTCAGAACCCATTTTAATGCAAAATGTTTTGCCATGAAAGCAATGAAGTCTAAAAAGATTTTGTTTAGAAACTCATACAAAATAAAGAATGTGTGCTGGTTTTGTATCTTTTCTAGGATTTTGTGGAGTTACAGAGGAGAAATTAAACCAAATTACTGATGGTATTTGGTATTTTCCAAGTTTGCAAGTAAAGCCTGTGATTGTGAATAGCAGGTGCATTACAGTTGAGATCTCTCATACATTTAACTTCTTTATTCCCTATCCATGTGGATTTTGTCTGCTATACATCTCTAGCAATTTACCACACACTGTTAAGAATGAGCTGAAAACGAAAGATACTGTAGAAAATATAGAAGCTTCATAATAAAATATCAAATATGGTTTTAATCTATTATACATTCTTGTTTTCTAGATATCTGCAAGATCCACTCAAAGTGGAGTGAGAATTATTTTAAGAGGTTCATATTTAATTCATTGTTGTGAAGACATATACTAACTTTTCTGCCTTCAGTTATTGTATGCCGTTGTTATAGAGCCCTTAATCACATTCTTACAGTTCTTTGGGCTTTTCTTGCCATGCAAATATAACTTATCCTAGTGGAATATCTATGTGTTTTTAGAGCTTGAATTTTAATCTTCTTAAATTAATCTGCCTAAAACTAAAAACATAAAACTATACTGTAGTCATGCACTATGCAACTAGTAGACAATAGATTATGGCTGCTCCTTCAAGAGCAGTGAGGGGGTAAGTGCAGGTGGAGGCAGTATTTGTGCAGCAGGGCCTAAACAGAGTGTTTGTCCATGGCTTCAGAGCGTATGCAGAAAGGTTCACTTCCCAGTACTGTTGTAGTCTTTTAATGTAAATGTAGCATCAATGAAAACCAAAAATTTCCAAGTGCTACGAAACTATAAAGATGTACAGGTTGCTCCAAAAGTAATGCTTCCTATTTATTTCTATGAAAACCACAGGAGGTATGTAGAGCATAATAACACTACTTGATAGAGAAAATTCTCAGCTACAGATCACTGTTGTTCAACACAGTCACCACAATTATCTTTTCATTTTTACCAGTGATGAACAAGAGCCTGCATGCTCTGCTTGTAAAATATCTGAACCAGAGGTTATGAACTACTGTTATTCTTGTCACTGCTGAAAAGTACCACCCACCATCTCACTGTGCTCACATCCAGTGTTTGGTATCCAGAAATATTCAGCAAGCATTAATGAAAGTCAATGGGGTGCAATTGTATTCCACATGGAGGAGTTCAATTCCACACCTTTGTTTCATCTGCACTCCCATGCCAGATCCCATTCTGTCAGATTGCCCTCTGCTGCCATTTGTCATGTGGCAAAAAATTCAATGGAATATTGGCAGGAAGGTTCAACTTCTATGTCATACTGCCAACGTCTGGCCCTGAGATTTTGGGCCAGCATAATAAAGTAGGAGGCATTAATTTTGGAAGCCCTTGGTAATCTTCATGGAGCTCCCATTTCTGATGGTTTCAATTTCTGTGTTATTGTAATATAACCAGGACCAACTAATTTTGCTTACCACCTTAAAATGGCCAAATGATAACTGGAGGTAAACAAGATATGAAGAAAAAAATGGAACAGAGGAAATGTTTAATGTTTTTTCTTAGAAGAAAGCTCAGTAGGAAACCCTATCTCTGAAGACTAAGAAGCAAGAGATTTTGGGAGAAGAGAGTTTGTCTCCCCTCCCTTCTGGGCTTGCACAGGAACCCTGAATGAGGGCTGCCTTGTCTCTGCTCCAGCAGCATTTATTATCAGCAAACTGCACCATACTATATCTACGACATAAGAAGCAGTTTCAAAGCTTTCTGATGGCAGACACCATCCTGGATCTTCTGGGGAAGATCAGAGCCAACGCTTGTGAGGGCAATTAGGCCTATGTATTTTATAGACAAAAACATCCTTTATTGTCTCCTTTGGCTGGCACTAGGCATTGTTCAAGAAAAAAGGATCTTGATTTTGGGTTGATGTGTCCAAGAGGATGGTTATGTATCTGACTCTGGCAACCACTTTGGGTGCTTTTGAGAATTCACATTATCAGACATCTCCACCTCCAGTGGATATGTGATTCAGAATAGTATCTGCGGCATTCAGTAATTCAAATGCAAATAGAAAGCTGCTGCATCTTGAAATAATGCTGGCTCAGAGATAGTTTGCTATGTCATTATACAGTTTGCTTAAAATAATTTAGTGAAATAATATCTCACGGTTGCATACAATTATTTTTGATTGCTTTCTTAAATGTGTTCATAAAATTTTATAGTGCCCTTTCTACAACACCTACCATTTTCCTCACTGTTTAATGAATGATTCTGAGTTACAGCACCTCCATCTTGTGGTAAACTTGAGAAATAAATCTTTCTTAATGCTATCTGCCAAAAAGTCCCTCTTAAAAAAAATATGGTAATAAAGATTTGTCCAGGTTTTAACTTGGCTCCAGGTGCTCCAGGAAGTTTATGTCAGTGGGATTTTCTCCCTGCCTCCATCTTGCAGCAGTCTGCTGGGACAGTCTTCTTAGGCCAAGCTGAAACCCTCATCCTTCAAAGCTGGCAGTGGGAGGACATCATCTTCCCCCAAGGAGTGAGGGAGGTACTGTGCTTCTTGAGAAGTGCTATCAGTTACTAGCAGTGTTTAGGTATTGAGAATTTTAAAGGTGTATAAATACCTGCTGCAGCAGAAACTTTCAATCATCATAATTCTATTGCAATTATAAAGATGTTTTTCAAAGGTTAAACATCAGTTTTCCATTGCTGCTGTTGACTAGGAGCATGAATACATCTGTATTTTGAGTTTGAAATAAAATTTTGTAATATAAAGACAATCTGAAAAGCGAAGCTGTTTCAAACTCTAGAAAAGGCCCTTCAAGAATGGTAGTCTGAATGCTTGGCAGCTGGGATCCATATACTGGGCCTTCTGGTTTTCTGTCGTTGAGATGCTGTGTGCTGTGATTGCAAAAGGTTAAGTATTTAGCAGAGGTGCCAGCTAGATGCTAAGTAAGAAGCTGCTTGCAATTTCTACCTTGATAGTTTGAGATTTTGCTTATTCTGAAGTGTTCAAAGCGGCTTGCTACTCAAATGTGGTCTTGCAAGTGAAGAAGAAAGGGAATAGATCCCATCCATTGATCTCTTGGCTACAGTTGTGCTGGGGGAAAAGTATGCTGTTAGCCTTTGCTGTCACAGGGGTACATTACTGGTTCAGTTCAGCTTTCTCTGCTAGGACCTCCTGGTCTTTTTTGGAGTTACAGTTTCCTTGCTGCAGGAAGTTGATTTTGTCGCTGTTGAACTTCACAGAACTCCTGTCGCCTGATTTTTCTGGTCTATCAAAGCCACTATGAATGGCAGTTCTATCTAGGGTTTAAAATAAGAAGTTGTACTTCATCTGGAGCAAGAATTATAACTGCACACAGTTTAAGCATATAAACAGTTCTGTAACAAGCCGTCTAACATCCTTTCTCTGACAATGGTCAGCAGAGAAAATTAATGTAAACCAAGCAAATTCTCATTTATTCTTGCTCTCTTATGAGCTACTAACTCTGTGAAACCTGTTGTGGAGGCTCTAACTTTGAATGTGTGTTTGGACTTTTCAATAGCAGGAAGGGAAGTCAGCCCATTTGTATTTCCCTGACAATCCTCCCATAGCAATAAAGTCACAATCTAATGATGGATTATACAGAGGAACTGTTTGTTTATTTGATTTAAGCTTGCATCCTCACAGTGTTTTTGTTATACTTAACTCATATTGGGAAGAATATGGAAAAACTGGGAAGAATAATTCCCTTCTCAGCTTGCAAGCCATTTCACCTTTGCTTTTAGAGCAGAGGTGGTGTATGATTTTCTGTTTTGCTCTTCAGTGCTTTCTAGCGCTAATATTTGACAGGAGTTTTTGGCTGTTGCTGTGCAATACATTGGCATTTTTAGATAATCCTGCCCAGGAACTTCAAAATGTCTTCTGTGAGTGGCAAGAGGTAATTAACCATCATCGAGGATTTATAGTTGGAGATATTTTTCTCAAATGTGGTATTCTGTGTTTATTGACATTGAGTTTCTTCTGTCACTTTACTGCTGTGTCACCTGAAGATCATTCTGCAGCGTTATGCAGTCTGCCTGACTTCGGACTACTCTGAGTAATCCTGTATGGGGAATGGTATGTCATAATAAAGCCTTTATTGGCAGCAACGGATTTGGCTAAAAATCCCTTCCTTCAAAATCATAGGCTTGAAAGATGCTATCCTTAAACATAGCCTCTTACCTATAGCTGTATACCACAATCTTATTTCTGTAGTTCCTTCCGATTCTAGGGACCTGGGGTTTTTAGAAAGCAAATCACAGTGTTATAGTTGGCATGAACACTGTATTTCTGACAGCTGGGACATTCTTGCTTACCTGAATTCAGCATAGCTCCAACTATGGCTGCTGGCTTTGGGCTGCTCCTGTGTCAGCTCTCTTGACGTGGCAGCAACTTCCAAAACTACCCTGGAAGGACACAGACTCGTGGCTTGTGTAATGTGCATCCATGTACCCATGGCTACTCCCACATTCACAGGTGGTTGCTGCCCACTTCCCCTTCCACAGTTCTACATTCTCTTTGTTGCAGCACTGTTATGCTAAGTCCTGGTCAATTGAACCTACCTGAAATCCAAACTGTGCTCCTGGAGTGACCCCTAAAGAACCACCAGAGTATCTCAAGAAGGCTGGTAATATTTATGAAGAATGAAGTGATGTGAGATTCAGAAAAAGAAGAATATTCCACTAGGAGTTTCAAATTCCTAGAGTATTCCAAGATGCAAGGGTTTTCATGGATTAACAATAGAAACTGATAATACACTTGATGTACATCTTGCTGTCAGTGGGTGTCTTGTATGTCAGCCATACCAATGGCTTTTTGTACATTTTTATATTCAGGCTCTGGAGAAAATGGATTCAGTATTGTAGCTGGATCAGGATTTTCTGTCTTTCTAAACTCATGGCAGCACGAGGATCCTTTGGACAGGGACTCTCCTCGAGCACGTAGAGATGTGAAAAGAAGATGGGAAGGAATTGTTTGTTTATTTTTGGAATTAATGTTTACAGGTTTGCAGAGTGTATTGACACAGCTTTCAGAATACACTTTAGCTCTATGCTGAAAGCAAAAGGGAATCCTTGTACAAACCTACTGCTTATTGCTGGATTGTCTCCCAGCTGCAGAGCTGCTTTCCTCTAGGAACTCCAGTTCTATAAATAGCTATATACACACATACATGTCAAATATTTTATATATATAAAATGTGATACGTACACATGTATATGTGAGCAATCCTTCTCAAAAAAATGAAAAAAGTTCAAAGCAAAGAAAATCTGAAAACGTGTGTGTGGAATTAGACAAAAGGACTTAATTTAGCCTTTCATTTCAGCAAGGTGTACAGAAAAACAGAAAGTATGAAACATTGACCATGAAAGTTGATGGTGATACGCGATGCATTCATTGTATGTTCTGTAAGGATCCCTTTTACACTGATACTTCAAATTAGCATTTAAAGGATGAAATATAAACTGCTAATATCTGTACCTCATTTTATGCCTGTGTTAGTTTTGAAAACAATTTGATGAATGAAAATCATAATAAAGAAAATTGTATGTTTGCCTGTAAACACTGAGTGGACTCCAATTACCAGATCCTAATCTCTGTCCATCTGCTTTTACCTATACATTAGGTGTGAAAAAGCTCTGTCAATGCTGTGGCAAAACAGAGACTTTAATAGTAAAATAAGCAATAATTTCCCTGTCATATTTTCCCTATTTTTAAAAGTCAATTTCCCTAAAATCAATTTGTTGTATACCTGAATCCTTACAGAATTTTGCAGTATTTTGATAAGTGGTAACAATAAAAAAAAAAAAAAAAGAAAAAAAGAGTATATTCTTTCAAAACAAATAAATTGTTGCCCATCTACGTGAGTTTGACAAAATGTTTGTTTCCCTTGCTTTGTCACCTCAGGTTCAATGCTTCCTGCATGTATAATTAAAAAAATAAATAAACACCAATATCAACATTTTAAGAATTACTTAATCGAACTCTGCATATAAATTGCTTTCTCTCATAGAAGTTAGATTTTACCACGAGGCATTAAAATGTAGCACACAATTTCATGTCTTGAATTCATTCATGCTTAATCTCTGGGTTTGCATAAATTAAATATATAACATCAAATCTTGTGAGTGTTAAATATCTGGAATTTATCTGGAGATCAATTAATGTTCTAACATTTCTGTCTCCCCGAGAGAAGCATCAGGCAATCAGTCTGGAAAACTATTATCTGTTTCTACCCTTTAAGTCATATTTCATATTTTAATTCTAGATTTACACATGTATTTGTATCATACTTTGCTCTTTAAATTATAAGATATAAACGGAAGTATACTGGTGGGGATTTAGGGAGGCAAAGCAAAAATATTGATTGTTTACTCTTAATCTTTTCTTAAACAATTTTGTCTCCTAATAGGCAATGCTTTCGGTATTATTCAGCAGTCTTTGGCTCACTTTCCCCTTATAATTATATCTGTTTCCCATTTTAAAAGAATTCCTCATCCCAAGCCAGTCCATTATTTCTAGAATTTGTAGAAAGGTTAGTGAGTCTC